CTAATAGTTCGTTCCGGTAAAATTCAGACGATGCTGTTAACAAACCAAGTTTAAGCTGGTGCTGAGACTAGGGAAGCCTGGGTGGCGCAGTCGGTTAAGCGTCAGACTTCATGGAGTCACGATCTCGCTGTCCGGTCGTGAGTTCGAGCCCGCGTCAGGCTCTCTGGGATGGCTCTCAGGCTGATAACCGAGCCTGTATTTCCCATTCTGTGTCTCCCTCTCTCTGCCCTCCCCGTTCATGCTCTGTCTCTCTGTCCCAAAAAATAAATAAACCATTGAAAAAAAATTGAAGTCTGACGCTTAACCGACTGCGCCACCCAGGCGCCCCTAGTCCCTAGCTTTCTAAACTTGGTTTTTGTTAACAGCATCGTCTGAATTTTACTGAACGAACTATTAGGTGGGATCTTGATATACGAAAAGGACACATGTGATGCTGCTTAGGTGGAATGAGGAGCTGGGCCAGAGCTACATTTGCTCAGGGTCTGCACCGGGGCTCCGGAGGCCTGTGTCTCCAGGGAGCGTCCTCGGAAACCTCCAATCCTGTGCAGCGTCGGGGAAGCCCAGAGAAGTGGCGTTACACAGCTGGGACTCTTGCAGCCAGGTTTCCAGGTCCCAGGGTAGTGGTGTCCTGACACTTCTCTGCCTAAGTGCTTGGCATGTCTTTTCTGTTCGGAAAGACGTAAAGATGATGAAATGAAGTATCACAAGAAGCAAAAACTGCTAAAAGTGGCAGCTTGAAAAACAAGCTCAGTCAGGCTCAGTTTCCATTCGGGAAAAATAGATTTTAATTACTTTTAGATTCTTGTTCCTCTCTCCTCCTTGCCCTGATCATTTCCTCATCTTTTCTTTAGTTGAGTACTTTCTGTGTATTTTTGACATACTGGGACACACCAGTTTCAGAAAACATCACCTGATTATATTTTACCATACTCTGGAAAGTTTCTCTTTTCTGATCTTGCCTTATAAGAAAATGCCCCAAGCTAAATGGTGCCGGATTACTTAAAATATAAGAATTTTCTGTTCTTCTCTTTGTAAATAAGAACTACCTTAAAAATTATTAGTAATTATATTGAATAAACACGTTCTAGTGTTTTAAAACTCAATGAATATGTCGGATTATGTAGTATATTTTTGTTCCTAATCTCATTAAGTGATTTGAAATTGGAAAAGTATTTAATAAAAAGATGTTAATTTGCATATATGTAGATTCTCATTCCAAGAAAACTAGGGCTTCATAATTTTCTATTAGATTCACATTTTCTTAAAAGAAAGTCAAGCTGATAGCCCTTTAAGTTCTTTTTGTAAGGAGAGTTTAAAAACAAATACAGAATACTACTAATTGCCTTGTACAGTCAGTGATCCTTTTACCCAAGGAGTTTACATGCTAAAATTGATTTCCTTGATGTATCCCCAGGCTATAAACACTTAGAGATACTAAGTTTTTGAGGAGAGAGAAAAAGCTGTCTTTATAATTTTTAAAGCTTCGATATTTGGGTATAAATATAAAACAGGTGAGATTGTGATAGAATGAACTTGAAACGGTCGGCATCCATTCATTCAATGATATTTGAGCACCTACTATTTTCTCAACAGATTGGTGGATACTAATAGTGAAAACAGGATGAGGAAAGATACAGAGCCAGCCAGATCTGAATGGAATGAATAGGCAGAAGCAAGGAAAAATGAGAGAATGTGTAGAAGTATCCTTTTAGAGGTCTAAAAGACAGTCCAAAATACAAAATGTTAATTTTCCACTTTGTTTACAGGCACGCATGTAGGGAATACCGGATTCACAAAGAACTGGATCATCCCAGAATAGTTAAGCTGTATGATTACTTTTCACTGGACACTGACTCGTAAGTGCCGTGACATTTTAGCTTAGCAGTTATGCTGTTTTCTTCCAGTGTGTTGACTACTCATGAAATGGAGCTTAAATCTGGGTCAAGGAAATACTCTCGGAGGGAGTCAAGTGTATGTATTTATGGGCAAATGATCGTGTGTGAATTCATGTTTGGGTCAGCAATACATCTCTTAGCCACAGGACTTGTATAGTTGTGTGCTGGTTAATGTTTAACAACCAGCTTGGTGGGGGTCGGAATAGGGCTAATATGTAGTATTTGACAATTTCTGTGATAATAAATTTCTCAACAGGTCCAATTTCAAGCTACTAACTTAAAAAAAAAAGCTTTATTGAGATATAATTTAAATGCCATATAATTCACCCACTTAAAGTAAACAGTTCAAGGCCTTTAGTATATTCACAGATCTGCAATCATTGCCATAGTCATTTTTTTTTTGCCATAGTCATTTTTAGGACATTTTCACTACCTCAAAAAGAAACCCCATACCTTTTGCTGTCACCCCCTTATTCTTCCACCCCACCGCCACCCCACTCCCAGCCCTAAGCAGCCACTAGTCTGGTTTTTTTTTTTTGGTCTCTATAGCTTTCCTATTTTGGACTTGTATAGGAATCACTCATGTAGTATCTGGAGTCTTCTGACTGGCTGCTTTTATTTGAGATGATGTTTTTTCAAGGTTTTTTATTGTAGCATATATTAGTACTTCATTCCTTTTTACGACCAAATATATTCCATTGTATGAATAAACCACCTTTTGTTTGTCCTTGCATCCTACCAGTGGCTTAATAACCAGCTCATAAAATTCCTGAAAATTAACTGTCAGCTCTTGGTAACTGTCACAAGTTGGTGCCAGCTGCCTCTGACGTGCCCCAGTGGGTGTGGACTGTACAAGAGAGCCTCTGCTCCACCCCAGAGATGCTGATGAACCGTGATGGGCCTTTTAAAGAAGTACCAGCAATGTGATTTTATCATAGAATGGGAACGAATGTGGCACAAATGAAGGCATAACCCAGTGCTGCCTGTGAAAACATAGCCTCACAGGCATGTGGGATGTTAGAGTTGGAAGGGATCTCAGTTCAGCTTTATTTTATAGATGGAAATTTGAGGCCCAGAGAAGTGAAATGACTTGCCCAAGATCTTTAATACTGTTAGGCATTGTTGTATTTTATTACTGGGTAAGGTAAGCTCTGTCACCTCTGGGTTTACCCAGGAGTTTAGGAATATTTCAGCATTTGGAAATGTTTTCTCTGTAGGAGTCTGAACTTCAGAGTCTGGTCGGCAGGTGTTCCCTCTTAGCCTTCCGGGTGATTCTAGGCATTCAGGCCTATTCTAAACAGCAGGTGTCTCAGAGACTGCTATGCCAAGAACCACCCCACATTTAGAAATGTTTCCCAAAGGGAGAGACCTTCATTCCCTTTGGAAATGTGTACCATCCCTTTTTCCATCTGCTCAGGGATGACCCCTTTCCAGAAGGGTGGCCCTCGGACCAGGCATAGTCAGTGTGTGTTTAGCGTGGATGGGGTTTAGAAGAATATCTGGTTAAGAGAGCAGGTTTCCAAGGGTGATTAAATTCCTTGAATACTAGGTAGACTGCCCCCCACCCAATAACAAAAACATTTCAAAAATAAGGAGAATGACTTAGATTATCTATGGTTTCAAATTGTATATATACTTTTAACTAATCTAAGAAATTGACTTGGTTGTGTGCTATTCTTGAGTTGTTTATTTTGTTCTTCCTATTGTGTATGTGGTGACTTTTCACCATCATGTTAGAAAATCTTCTGAGAGTTGTTTGGGTGTTAAAGTGACATTTTATTTTAGGCTTGCACTTGGATCAAAAAATACCTCCACTAAACATGAGAATCTATATCTTAGATCAGAGAATCTATAAATTTTTGATATTCATTCTCAAATAGGGTGCTAGCATGCCCTAATATGCTTCAAAGAAAACACAAGCTGCTCAGTTTGGGGATCCCGCAGGACGGTGTATGTCCGCCTTTCATCGCAGTGTTTTTTGAAGGCCTCAAATTTCCCAGAGGCCTTCTAGTCCTCTCTAGTCCTGAGCCTGTTAGCTCTCAGGTCTGCTCCTCACCCTTACCCTATTCTGCATCTTAGGGAAGATGACCCTTGTAGGCTGTTCTGCCAGGCTCCGGTGTCAGTTGTTGTTCAGCTGGGCTCAGCCACTGGGGAGACCGAGATGGTGGTGGGTAGGGACACTCCTCCCTCTCCCCGCTGTGATTCCAGTCTCTCTTGGTGACCCTGGGTTCAGGTTGCACCATCTCTGCCCTTTGGCCCTAGGGTGCTAATGGCTTCCTGTTCTGGATGATCTCTGGGGTGCCTCACTGGCCAGTTTATCCTTTCAGCTCTTCCATCATCCATGTGATCAATTCCCTGAGCTAAAACTTCTCTGTTTTAAATACTCAGGTGGTTTTTATTTCCTGGCTAGATCCTGAGTGATACAACCGTATTGTCACAGCTTAGGATCGTTTAAAAGGTCTTCATCTCTCAGGAATACTCAAACAATTCAGGAATCCTTACTTCAGTTTACAATTCCCTTAGAAGATAGACACATGACCCTTCATGCCACAAATGGTATGTAGTTTTAAATTTGGGTCTATATGATGAATTGATATAAGTGAAGGAAAAAACTCACACTATACAATAGCATATTTGTTAGAACAACAGATACTGTACTTTTAAAAGTTCTCTTGTGTTTAGCAGAACACAATTATATACAGTATTGTGCCAAACTACCAGGAGACATGACATGAAACCAGTTCTTGGGACATGGGCAAACCCTAGATTTTTTCTCACTGTCAGCGCTTAGGATCATTTGAAATGTTTGCATTGAGACTTGTATGCTTGAGTACCATATGCTTGTTTAGAACTGGAGCACGGTGTGGAAATGTGTAGGAGACCCCTCTAGAAAGATAATCTAGCTTAAGTACATTACAGTTCTTGTCAGTGTTCTTATAGACTAGATTTAAGAAGAGGTATGCGTGGGCGAATTGTAGCACAACAGATTCCAGTGTGGAGGGCGTGAAGGCTCTTCACCAGGAGAGAAAGCAGTTTCCTTCCTGGCAAACACTCAGGTAGCTAATACTGAATAAAGAACAGAAGAGTACTTTCAGGACTAAAGAACAGAGCAAGAAGCTAATTAAAGTTTTCGCTGGGGCTGGTTTAGTTAGTCTTGATTTGCTTGCTGTTTCCCACAGTCAAATGTTGGTTTATTTGTCTTTAGGTTTTGTACAGTATTAGAGTACTGTGAGGGAAATGATCTGGACTTCTACCTGAAACAGCACAAATTAATGTCGGAGAAAGAGGCCCGGTCCATTATCATGCAGATTGTGAATGCTTTAAAGTACTTAAATGAAATAAAACCTCCCATCATACACTATGACCTCAAACCAGGTATGTCTGACTTTTAGGTGACAGTACTGATGGCTTTTCTCTGATCTTAAAAGTGACTTCTAATCTGATAAAGTTAGAGAATGTGGCAGGAGCCTAGAAGGCCTAGTAATATCTGGCTTTGCCTGGGTAGGTGTGGGAATGAAAGAGGCCCAGCCACACAATGCTGGGTTTGAGAGGATGAGTCGAATGAAATGCTCTGGAGAAACGATGCCCTTGTCTGTAGAGCCAGGGCGGGTCACCATGTCAGTCCCATTTAGCAAGGCCTGCTCTGGGTGAGCTCCATTTCACACTACATAGTAGTCCTCTAGTCCAAGTCTTTTCGACGAAAGTGCCTCCAAATTAATGACTTATTTTGCAGGTATGCCTCCCATTTCATTAAATTCGAACAGATTTACGTCTTTTTGTATGGTTACTATCCAATTTCAGTAGTCCTCAGCAAACAGTAGAGGGCAGTTAGACTTTTTACCTCTGTTTTTTTTGTTTTTGTTTTTAAATGTTTCTTTATTTTCATGATAGAGAGGCAGTGCGAGCAGGGAAGGGGCAGAGAGGGAGGGAGACACAGAATCTGAAGCAGGCTCCAGGCTCCAAGCTGTCAGCACAGAGCCCGGTGTGGGGCTCTAACCCACAAACCATGAGATTATGACCTGAGCTGAAGTTGGACGCTTAACCGACTGAGCCACCCAGGCGCCCCACCTCTGTTTTTTTTGTCATCATCCTCAGTTGTTTTTTAGAAGTCTGCATATGTTCTCTGTAGACAGCTGGAACCAGCTTTGGCTTGGGTGTTGGGAAGATGGTTCCCATTTACCTCCTGGTGGGCACAGTTGTTAACTCTGCTTTCCTCTACTGGTAGCTACGTATTAAATCTCACTATTCACTATTCTTTAATGTTCTAATACAATTCAAATGACAAAAAAAAGTCATTATAATGAAGTGGTTTTTAAAACAACAGCTATTTGTGTTATTGGGTTTTCCAGCACTGAATCCAATACATTTTCCCATCATAGGAACTGTAGGTGGCACTGTGGTACTAGTTTTGATTCCCTTGTGTGGGTTTTTTGGTTTTTTTTTTTGTTTTGTTTTGTTTTTCCCCCGGTCCTGAAGCTACTGTTCTAAACAGGGTGGTTTAGAGATTGTTACTGAAAGCTCAGATGAAACTTTCCCACCATTTTTGACCAGCCGTCCAAGTGATATTTTACTTTGGCGAGTTGCTATTTTTTTCCACTGCTCATAGTGGTGGTTTTGGCACATCTAGCAGGTGATTCTTGGAAAATGGAAGTTTGCAGCCAGACACTGAGGACTCTCCTCTAGCATCCAGAGTCCAGATCATTTTATTCCACGAATTTAGATGTTTGCTATTACTTGCGAGAGTTTGAGTTCACTTGTCCCCTACTTGTCTGTTTTACCTTGAACTTTTCTCTTAATTAGTAAGTCTCTTTTTATTCATGAAGATTTTCATCTTTTTAGGTAATATTCTTTTAGTAAATGGTACAGCATGTGGAGAGATAAAAATCACAGATTTTGGTCTTTCCAAGATCATGGATGATGATAGCTACAATTCAGTGGATGGCATGGAGCTAACGTCACAAGGTGCTGGTACTTATTGGTAGGTATCTGGGAGATCTGCCAGGTTGGCTGGTGGAGATATGGCTGTGCTATACTGAAATGTTGGTAATTGATCATTAATTAATATCTACATCCTGTCTTAGGCAAAATGCAGTAAACCAAAGTAGATTTTCCTCCCCAAATATCACTGCCTTTTCGGCCGTTTGACTCTCTGTATTTATATTAACTTGTCTTAATTTTTCTTTCCTTTCTTGAAAACCATTGAGAGAGATTATATATGGCCAGGTGTTGGAGTTGTGTGTTTCTTTAGAGCTGGCCCTATGGAGTAGGGAGAGAACGAGATTGCTCCTGTGTATTTAAAGAATGGCCCTAAATTTTTTTCAGTACAAATGTAGGTCTCTTGTTATGTTATGGGTTAATGGGATGAGGGATTCATTTCTAGAGTTGCCTACAGATGATGCCCTGTCAAGAACTAAGAAGTTGTAAAGATCGGTATGTAAAGTAACCCCAGCATCCCTTGAAATCTAAACAGGAAAAAAGTGAGCACAGTTTGCAAAGAAATTTATCCGTACCCATCAGCCATGTTCTAAAATGTTTTGAGCCACATTTCTTCCCATCTGTTGTCACTCGTCTCCCCACCACCACCCTACCCCAGCTAGCTCTACCTGCTTATTCCATGACCTCTTATTTCTGCCTGCTTTTGACAGCAGGAGCCATAAAAGATACCTACAGCCCAAACAACTCACTTTGTGATTGTAAAGGTGTGTTAACAGACAGAGCTTTCTTTTTCCTTCTGAGGTGGTAACAGAAAGCTGCCAATTGGACATTTGATTCCAAACTGAGGTTGGGGGCGGCATAGAAGTCCCACATATATTAAACCCCAGGGTCAGTTGGTCAGATCACTTAACTTTGAGACTGGAGGGCCCTAGGCCTTAGCAGAATACTGACTGCCTGGGAATGAGGGCGTTGATTGGAAGCAGACAGAGAAGGGAGAGTATCGTTTACAGCCCACAGGACGAGCTTTATTCTCCTCAGTCTGATCATATGTAAATTATGTATATTAGAGAATCCATCAAATCCTTAGAAAAGCATCATGTGCACAAAATTCCTACTCTTCATTCCTCCTTATTTTTTGTGGAGATGGTACCTATAGTGAAAATCAGTCCCTAAATTAAACCTTTGAGATCCTGGGTTTAAAATAGAAGCTACATTTACAGTGTTTATTTACTATGGTGGTTATTGTGGGTTAGTGTTCCTGTCACTAAATGGCACAAAAATATCTGTTGTTGGAAATTCTGGAAACAGGTCTATACCTCTGCTATATAAATTCACTGAAACTTAGATTTTAGCTTTTTTGTTTGGTAACTTGTTCTTATAAAAAGTTAAGCCTTTTTGTGTTAAATTCATTTTCTCATTGCTACCTATTGCTGTATTTACTGAGCTATAAAAATTCAGTGGTTGGAATTTAAGTAATAATTATGTGATGTTTGGGATTTGCTTCAGAGTAATCTGTTGGTGGGGGGAGGGGTGTATATGAACAGATTGGCCCCATGTTGATAATTATTGAAGCTCAATGATGGTTACTTGGGGGTTCATTTTACTGTTCTTTCTACTTTAGATTATATTTGGAGATTATTTTCATAACAAAAAGAGAGGTAAAAAGGGGGCTACTGAGAAAACTTAATTCTGTGGGTTCCTCTGAAGGTTTAAAAAATCTCCATATTGGTAGTGCTAAGCATTGTCATAATCACACTCCTCATATGTCATCCTCTTAGGTCCTAGAGGATCGATACAAACAGGGTGGGAAGACATAACAAATTCTAGGCAACGGTTTGCAGTATTTTGGTAGTTGCAGTGTTTGGTAGAATTCTTCTACATTGAATACTACTTTTAAAAAAAAAAAAAAAATTTATTCTTAAGTAATCTCTATACCCAGCATGGGGGCTCGAACTCATAATCGTGAGATCAGCGCATGCTCCACTGACTGAGCCAGCCAGGTGCCCTCAATACTACTTATAAATAAATGACCTATAGATTAGGCCCTGAGAATCCTGTTTCTGTAGGATGATTTTATTGTGACAGAATATGCAATTATGTTTTTAAACGTAATTTCGTGCAATATCATAGAACCGTCCTCTACTCTCTCCCGAAGTCCTTGATAGGGAATTACAGTGCTTATTATTGTCAGTATTATTTGGGTGAAGAACTAGTTTATTTCTTCATTTATACATGGGGAAACTGAGACCTAGAAAGTGACTTTTCCAGACTGATACTGTCAAGTGGCAGTCAACGTCTTTTTTTTTTTTTTTTTTTTTTTTTTTTTTTTTTTTTTTTTTAAATCAATGTCTTTTGTACTGTGAATATTTGGCTAAATTATTACTCATCATTTGGACAAATTCAACAACTTCTGTCCTTCTCTGCCACCTCCACAAGAGTTATAAATACATTAAAATGATCATTTTGGAACCAAGGTTCTATTTGTTGTTTATGCAAGATCATATTTAAATTATGTATGTTAAAGAATCAAGAACCGTGAAAAGTCAGGTTCAGGGAGGTTTTAGTGACATTTGGAAGAGCTGTTCTTTTTATTCTTTTTCCTATATTCTTGTTACTTTGCTTTTTTCCCCACTTCATGAGTTCAGTGTGTGTTTTGGCTAACAGTTTTCATTGTGAAGTAATAATGTAGGTCAGTGGTCTTAATCATCCCCAAATGTCTGTTAAAAATAAATAAATAAGAAACAAGAACATAAGACTAAACTTTTTTAAAAGAAAAGAAAAAAGCCCATCATGGAACATTTTCTTCCTCTCAGCTCTTGTGGCCCCCTTCGAGTTGTAAGTTTAGATTTTTATACTGGAAGCACAGCAGGGTCTAAAATAAAGAATTTTTCACAGAATTGATTTTGCCAGCATGAAATCTGCAGAAATCGATCTGTTATCTTCAGAATGCTGCCTTCCAGCTGTGCCATGGCTAAGACCCCAGGCAGTGAGTGGAAGCGTATTTGTTTGGTTTCCTAAATGCCAAGAGGCACTTACCTTCCACACCATACAATTTGGTGTGGTTGGCTGTGCAGCCAGTCTTTTTCCAAGCCAGGAGTGGGTGGGGAGGGAAGGAATTCAGGTGAGGATTGAGTTGTGCTAACTACTAGTTTGGTGGGCTTTTTCTCCCCTATTTGTTAGTCTTCAGGAAGCCCCTGATCACCCTTCAAGTGGGCAACACAAAATACCCTTTGATAACTTGGACTGTAGTATCACCATTTATTATATATTGTAGTTATTCCCAGTCCAGATTTTACAAAGAGAGCTACCTTATGAAGGATACAGCCCCTCCCCTCAGAGATTAATACTGGGTTCTGAATTCATTTGGACTTTTATTATTTTTTTAAATGTTTGTTTATTTTAGAGTGAGAGCGTGTGTGCAAGCAGGGGAGGGGCAAAGAGAGAGGGGGCAGAGGATCCAAAGTGGGCTCTGTGCTGACAGCAGAGAACCTTATGCGGGGCTCGAACCCATGAACTGCAAGATCATAACCTGAGCCAAAGTTGGACGCTCAACAGACTGAGCCACCCAGGCACCCCCCACCGCTTTGGACTTCTAACATAGTTATTTTAGAGACAGTCCTCTTTCTCAGCCAACATGAAAGCAAACCCACACCACTTCAAGTTCTGTTTTGATGTTTGTTGCTGCAGCTCTTCTAAAAGGGAATGAACTTCTTTTGTGTTCCCCCTCCTTTTTGGAACTTGTTGAATGACACTCCTATTAGGCGCAACCCTGGGAAAAGATGCTGTGGTGGGTGAAACAGGGGCCGGGGGGAGAATATTTGCCTCTCTTGGTGAACTGAGAAATGTATTTTAAGGCTTTTAGGACATGCTGCCTCCTTAAGTTACAGTGTTTTCTCACGGACTTTCCCCAGCAAGGCCCAAGTCGCTTTTTCGTCTAAATTTCAGTTAAAATTGAGATATTTTTATTTCCCACAAGGTCTTCTACTTTGCCTTTTTGTATATGTCCTAGATTTATACAGTCATTTTATTTTCCTTTTGTCCCAGGTATTTACCACCAGAGTGTTTTGTGGTTGGGAAAGAGCCACCAAAGATCTCAAATAAAGTTGATGTCTGGTCAGTGGGTGTGATCTTTTACCAGTGTCTTTACGGAAGGAAGGTAAGGAAGGTCGGATGTGGTGGCTTGATATCTGGCTTGGGTGGCACATGTATGCACTGGCATGGTGTCCGTTATTCTCTTGGAATTAATCGTTTGGTTATACAGAACTTTTGGATGTGGTTTGAGGAAAACACAGACAACAATAACAGCTTTATGCATAAGCAGAACTTTTCAACAGAGTACCTAATGAATTTCACTGGGCTATTGAAAAACATACATTTTTACCGTTTTCAATTAGATCCAGGATCGGTTTTGATTCTGATAATATGTATAAGGAATTATATGACCTGGTTTATTTCAAATATACAGTTGTCCCAGGAGGCATTCTTCAGGGTCCCACGGACTGGAACTTGGAAAATCTACAGGGGTCTTCATTCCCAGCTACCCCAGTAGTTAAAGCTATTATTAATAAAAGCGTGGTTTCTATCTTCTGTACTGGGGAGATGTAGTGTTAGAAAATATTCACCATCTGTTAACCTCTGGATCAAGGTGATAGGTCATTTGGACACATAATAACCTAGGTAGTGAACTGTACCTAATGAATTGTTCACATTTATGTTTTCCTTATGAGAATGCTCCCTTAGGGTAAACATACATACTAGGATACAGGGCACATATAGCCGTATTTTTGCTGTCAGTGTGTTATAAATAATCAAAATTTGTAGGTGGTTCCAACAGTGTAGGTTGTGAGTATAAGCCATTTGGGGGTTCTGCGACTCCCCTGGACTCTTTTTTTTTTT